TTTGACCGACTGCCCCTTCCTTCCCCAGGTCCTCCTGCTGCTAGCTCGGGGGGAGGGGGGGGCTGGGCGAGTAGACACCCCTGTCCTTCCTGTCTTCGCGTTGGGCCCAGGCATGCCTCCCCCCTCCCCCAGGCCCCCATCTGCCCAGAATCGCTCCGGATGGCTGGAAGGGGCCGGGGTGGTGAATGTGCCTGTAAATATTGTGGAAGTGCCCCTGGTCTTTGTCTCTCAAGAGTTACCCCTTAATCCCCCACCCCTCACCCCTGTTGCCTCAGTCTCTCCAGGGCTTCCTGTAGGGGGGAGGGGAGGGGGCGTCCCTTGGTCGCCTCCCACTTCATTCTGATGCCTCCCTCTCTGGGCCTCTTGCAGTTTGCATCTGTTCCTGAAACTCTTTCTCGCCTTCCTCCCCCTTCCACTCTGTTCCAAGGTGTTAGCACTTGGAAAAGAAGCATAAAGCCGGCTCTGTTGCAGTGTTTTGGTGGTGAGGTTTTCCCAGGGGTTCCCTCATTTGGAGTTGGGGGTTGCGTTCGTTCTTAGAGCGGTCTTTGGAATGAGGCAGGGAACAGACCTGGGGCTTAGCATCCAGACACTGTGTAGCTGGGTGGGGTTCAAGTTGAAGTCCTGGGGTGGGGGTGCAGGAAGGGGGCTCTCTGCTGCCCTGGCCTTGCCGGAGAGATCTTGGTGGATGGAGCTGTTGCCATGGGAATGGAGACAATCTGAACAGGAAGAGGTTATATCTTCGTGCAGGTCAGATGCCCACCCCACTCTTCCAGGCTCTGGCCCAGAGTGGAGGTGAGGAGCCGCACTGTCTTTGTTGCCAGGAGACCTGTGTTATAATTTACACTGGGTGGGCCAGGGATGCACAAAAGGCTAGTGTGTGTTTGCAGCTCTGGTTACGGCCGGGGATGGATGTCAGACTGTGTGCTCCTGGCTGGGGGTGGAGGTGGCTATATGCATCTGGCAGATGTGGGCCGGGCTCTGGTCTGGCCCTGTGTGATGGGGTGTGTCTGTGTGTGTGTCTGGCCAAGTATCTGTCTGGCTGTGTGTGTGTGTGTGTGTGTGTGTGTGTATGTGCGCGCGCGCACGTGCTGTGTCTCTGGCCTTGTGTGTAGTGAGTGTGAGGGAGATGGAGGAGGTGTGTCTGGCTCTGTGTGTATATTTTGGGTTTTTGTCTTTGTTTGATCTTCGGAAGCTAGGAGGTGGGGAAGGGAGGCAGGACAGAGTGAGCCCAGCACCAGGAGGCTAGAAGGCTTTTTTTAGTGCTCTTGTTGGGGAGCAGATCCTCATCCAGGAAGATTGAGGGGTTAACCGTGCTCCCAGGTGGACTGCCCATGTTCCTCCCACATCCATGGGGCTTACACAATTGCACCTACACTGTTGGGAGAGGAAAGGACCCCTAGATCCTGGGGTCTGAGTCTTGACAGTGCACTCTGGCTCGCTGTGCTTCTGTACAGGCTCAGTTTCCCCATCTGCACCATGGAAGGGGGATGAGGGTCTGCTCCCTCTTGGTACTTCAAGGTGAGAATGTGTGCTGATTGTCGTCTTTGGCCAGACTGTGACCCCTCCTAGGAGGCTCACCGAGTGGTCTGCCTTCCAGGGAACGTGGCGTCCTACATCCCCCTTCCTGGATGGAGGAAGGCCAGGCTCATTGGCCGAGGTGCCAGTGTGTAAGGAGCACCGGACTGGGAGCCAGTCTAGTCCTAGGACTGCCACTGTGTTGCTGTGTAACCGTTAGGCAAGCCACTGCTTTCTGAGTTTCTCCATCTGTAAAATGAAATGATGGACAAGATTTTTTCTAAGACTCCTTCTCCCTCTGCGATTCTAGACGTCTGGATGTGTGACCTTGAGTGACTTTTCCCAAGACCTGGGGGTTTTCTAGTGAGGGATTCGGGCTACTTTCATTTGGAGGAAAAGCAGAGCAAAGAACGCTGCACCTGTGCATCCAGAGGAGCAGAGGGGCCTCTGGGTTGTCAGAGATCGGCTGTTTCTGCAGGGGAGCGTGAAGGAAACTGATGGCAAGAGAGGCCTAAATCTTGGGGGAGCTTCCGGAAAGAGCTTGGTTAAAACAAAGAGATGCAGGGTGGTCTTTATTCGCAGGGGACTTTGAGGACGAGGAAAGACAAATGCCAGGCTTGAGAGGGAAGGAGGAGTGGGAATTGGGTGCCGGTCAATCTCCTTTCCTGCCTCTGTAGCCGAGACCAGGGGCTCCAGGGGCTCCCAGGCCAGAAGCATGGGCCGCCCAGCGGTTGCGCCCTTGTGAAGTCAGTGGTTTGGGGACAGGAGACACTGAGGGACTTGGCCCCCGGTTGGGGGAAGGCAGTGGAGGTGGGTGATGGTACTCAGGCCCACTGTGGGGATATGGTTGGGGCTGACCTGGCAGAGCCCCCAGAACTCCACACAGGCCACTTCCCTTTTCTGCTTCTTGGATTTGTCTCTCCTTCTCTGTTCCCCTTGGGCTATTCCCATCTCCCAGCCTTTCTTTTTTTTAAAAATATATTTCAGAGAGGAAGGGAGAGGGAGATAGAAACATCAATGATGAGAGAGAATCACTGATCGGCTGCCTCCTGCACGCCCCGCACTGGGGATCGAGCCCGCAACCCGGGCATGTGCCCTTGACCGGAATCGAACCTGGGACCCTTCAGTCTGCAGGCCGATGCTCTATCCACCAAGCCAAACCGGCCAGGGCTCCCCGCCTCTTTCTTAAAGTGATGATGCTGACGGTCCAGCCACCTATCACCCCACTTCCTTCTGCTTCTCACAACACACCAGCCAGTTGCAGCTGGGGAGGAATTGGGTGTCAGTTGTAGGGCCCTGAGGCTTCCTGGTGGGGGGGATGAGATGGGGAGGAGGTCCTTGGGGGAACAGGTAACCATGGCAATCAGGTGAGGAACCAATCATGGCTTCTCCCCAGCCCCAGAGGTAACAATCTGAGAGTCTGGGGATGGGGTGGGTGGTGCAAGGAGAGTCACAGGGGAGCTCATTTCTTAAACGGGAGATACGGGAACATTTCATTCCTCTGTAGGCGCCACAGCTCTTTCCTTCACCTGCACATCTAGAAGGACCTGAGGGATACTCAGTCTGAAGGCTCACAAATGCTCATGGAAGGGAGAGGGTGAGGGTTAAGGCCATGTGCCCAGGAGCTCCTGTGTGTTGAGCCCATAGTCTGCTTGGCAGCAACTAGATGGGAATTCTTAACAGTAAGTGTCTGAAAACACAAGTGTGTGAATGAGGCGGCCGGGCAGTGTGAAGCGCTACGTGTTTGTGTGCATGTACGTGTGTGTGTGAGAGAAGGAGAAGGGGGTGTGACATTCACTGATGGCAACCTGGCCCCCCCGGCATTATCAGAGCCCCAAACGCTCAGTTTCTGGCTGTGCACGCACACGGGTGCATTTGGACACAGACACAGACACGTAGTCATACAAAGTACCTTCGGAGGCCCAGACAGCACGTATGCATCTGAAATTACACACACCCAGTGAGACGGCCACTCCGAGTTTGTTCTTTCTCTGGATGGTTGTAATAATATTTGGGCATCTTGCCAGGAACGAAGTTACCATGGAAACGACCAAACAGTGGAGTCACCCGGCCAAACCTGCTGCATTAATTTGTGAAAGGGGGGAACCCGTGCAGGGGAAGGGCAGGAAGCGTCCCGCCCTGTGTATGGCCAGAGCCGCCTTCGCTGGCCGGGCCTGCGGGCCTCAGCCGCTGCCTCCCTGCTGGCTGCCTCCCTGCTGGCTGGCTCTCTGGGCTGGCTCGCTTGCTTGTTCTGCTCTGTCTGCCCTGCGAGTTGGTGTTTCTCCCATGTGTGGCCTTTGTGTCTCTCCATCTCTTTCGGTCTCTGGCCAGCCTCTGTGGGCTGTTTGGGTCCTGGCCAAACTCACCCTGGGGTCTCTATAGAAACTGCTGATCCCGGCTGTGAATTTCTGGTCCTAGAAAACCCAATGCGGTGTCTTTAGAAATGTTTCTGGAAAGGAGAGAAGGGTGTGTGTTGTGAAGGAGCAGTCCGGACTTGGCCACCCTCTCAAGCCCCACCCCTTGGGCTTTCACTCTGGGAAAGAGGAAGAAGGGAGGGGCCACCCCTTCTCTGTGCAGCTTTGATGTTTTTATGTCAAGAAGAACATCAGCCAAGCCAGAGCGGGGCTTTGCCTGACCTCCCGGGACCCTGCCAGAGCCTGGCTGGGTGCTCAGGCGGGCTGGGGACAGGAACTCTGTGCCCAGGCGTGGCAGGCATCTCCGAGCCTGTGGCAGGTGGCAGAGGAGGTGTCACCAGGTGGGAGGTGGTGGGTGGCGGTGCCCACGTGGGGACATCACTGTGTGTGCATGGGGCGGGGGTCCTGGATGTGTGTGCTTGTGGGCACAGGTGGAGCCGCGTGTTCCTCAGTGTTTCCTGCATGAGCGTCAGGCCTGGAACCGGCGTGGTCAGTAGACTTCCAGGTTGCTGCTCTGGGGCTGGGGCTGGATGCAGAGCCAGAGGACAAGTGATGGGGGCCCCCTTCAAACTTCCAGCTGCCTGGAGGAGGAGCAGACGGGATGGAAGGAGGGTAGGATGGAGTAGAAAGACCAAGTCAGGGGCCTTGCGTCTGGAGGGGGTGAAAGGGGCAGGGGCAATTTATTCTTTCTCTTCTTTTATTTTCTGGAGGTCTAGCTTATTTGAGTTTCCTCCTAGCTCCTAGCACTCACTTGAGTGAATATGAATTGGGATTACGGGGATATTTTAAAAGTCTGTTCTCTTCCATTTTCCTGCCTCCCCCTGTCCTTTGGAAAGTTGGGTAGTACTTCCTGTGGTCTAACCTCAGTCTTTCCTGCTGCTCCTGAGGTGGAGCTGATCTTGTTGCTCGAGGTGGGGTGACCCTCCAGAGCCGCCGGCACCCAGTAAACACCCAGAGGGGGCCCAAAGAACCAGACGCTGACGTGCACCCAATCCAAGGCCGAGAGGAAGGGCCTTGGCCTCGGAGAGGATGTTGGATCTCTGGGTTGCTAATTCCACTTTTACTTCCCAGGGTGACGCTCCCCAGCCCTCCAGCCCCCTCCCCGGCATCATGCATCGGACCACACGGATCAAAATCACGGAGCTGAACCCTCACCTCATGTGCGCCCTCTGCGGGGGGTACTTCATCGATGCCACTACCATCGTGGAGTGCTTGCATTCCTGTGAGCTGGGTGGAGGGGCTGCCTCTCAGGATGGGCAGCTTCTGCCTAGGTTGGGGGGGGAGGGAGGGAGGGGGCACTGCCCAGGGAAGGCGGAGCACAGACCCTGTCCTGAAGAGTGAACATGTCTCTGACTGGTGGGGCGGGGGGTCCCCAGGTCACAGGGAGGCTGCCTGGGAGGGGAGGCTGGAGGTTGTGACCCAGAGTTCTTCCAGGGACTTTCATCTGAAATCTCTGTGGCTGAAATGTCACCCCCTGAAGACGCAGGTGCCCCCTGGTGTGCCCTGTGGCCTCGGGGGTAAAGGTCATGGGCCCCGGGAGATGTGTAGCCGGCTGGCTGCTGTTTTGTACTCCATGAGGGGAGCTTGGGACTTGGGGCTCACCATATACACGACACAGGACACTGGCCTCATCCACACACATAGACACATAAGATTGTCCTCCGCCAAGGACGGGTACAGGGCGTCTGCCCTCTCTGAGAACACCACCACGTTGGCCCTCTGAACGGGCCTGAACTGCTGGACAAGGTGGAGAAGGGAGACCTGGACCTGAAGGAGGGGCTGGGGGCTGGGCCTGGTTACCAAGGGGGCTCTGACTCCTCCCTCTCTCCGTATCCCCCAAGTCTGCAAAACCTGCATCGTGCGCTACCTGGAGACCAACAAGTACTGCCCCATGTGTGACGTGCAGGTCCATAAAACCCGGCCGCTGCTGAGCATCAGGTGGGCCTGGCACTGCCCCTCCAGCCCCCGCGGGCCTCCGGGTCTGCTCCCCTCTGTCTCTCCCTCCTTGTTCCTGTAGCCCAGGTGGCGGGTGCTGGGTGGGGGCGGGGGGAGCCCTGGGCCTGTTCCCTCCCTCTGGGTTATCCAGCTGAGAAGTAGTGGAGGGTAGAGACCAGGCTCTGAATCTAAGGAAGGGAGGTGCGAAGTGGGACCCCTGGCTGGGGAGATCGGGGTAAGAGGGTTGTTGATAGGGTCCTGTATGTTTTTTTCCAGAGCTGACAAGACCCTCCAAGACATAGTCTACAAATTGGTCCCTGGGCTTTTTAAAGGTATCCACACACCCTCCCTCCTCCTGCCCCCGCCCCCCCCTTTCCCAGCCTGTTGCCCCCTCCTCACCCTGTTTCCTTCCCTCCTTCAGATGAGATGAAACGGCGGCGGGATTTCTATGCCGCGTACCCCCTGACGGAAGGTGAGTTCATGTGTGTGCTCCCAGGCCTGGGACCGTGTGAGTGTAAGGCTCTGCCCAGGCCTGAGGGCCGGGTGCACTGGGCGGTCCATCCTTCCTGCACGACCACGCCATCTCCCTGGCTCAGAGGGTGGCTGGGCTCACCCCACTGGGCTCTGAGATCCTGGGCCCTTGGTGGGGCTCCTCTCCCCCACCCTAGGCAGCCCCCCGGTTTTCTCCTTCTGCAGTCCCCAACGGCTCCAACGAGGACCGTGGTGAGGTGCTGGAGCAGGAGAAGGGGGCTCTGAGCGATGATGAGATTGTCAGCCTCTCGATCGAGTTCTACGAAACCGTCAGGCAAGTCTGTCCTATGCCTGGTCCTTTTGGGGTCCTAGGCTGGGTCGCCCCCTTCTCCCAGCCAGCCCCGCTCCCCTGGAAGGGAGGGCCTTCTGGATGTGTGTCCTGGGGAATCCTGCCTGAACCAGGGTCTCCCTAGCTTCGTTCTACCTCCTCCCCCAGGGACCGGGAGGAGAAGAAGGGCCCCTTGGAGAATGGAGACGGGGACAAGGAGAAGGTGAGCGCTGGGGCCTGCCCGGGAGTGGGGTGTGGGCTGGGGGAGAGTGCCTGGGTGGCCCATAGCCCTTGGGTGCCTCTCCCCTGGCAGACAGGGGTGCGCTTCCTGCGATGTCCAGCAGCCATGACCGTCATGCATCTCGCCAAGTTTCTCCGCAACAAGATGGATGTGCCCAGCAAGTACAAGGTGAGTCCCTGGGCCCTTTGAAGACAGTGAGTGTCTGTGGGCGGGTGTGTCTGACAGTCTGTGTATCCCAGCCATTGTTCAGGGCAGGCTGGGTGTCACCAAGGGCCTACCTGGTTGTGTAATTGAGCCCAAGTAGACAGGTAATTGAAACCAAGATTAGGGTGGGGCAGTCTGCATCTGTTGAAACCAGTGTGCAGACTACATGGGAACCAGGTGGTGTGTGTGTGTGTGTGTGTGTGTGTGTGTGTGCGCGCGCACACGCGTGCGGGGCCAGCTGGCTGAAGGAAGGCCAGTCTGAAATGCCAGCAGAACTCCAGGGCATTGCTTCTTAACTTGAATGTGCCGGTGAGCCGTTAGACTAGAGGTCTTGTTAAAATGCAGATTGATTCAGTAGATTCTGCATCTCCAGCAAGCTCCCAGGTGCTGCCAATGCCACTGGTCTACAGAGCACACGTTGAGTTTCCAGGGTGTAGGACAGTGGATCCCAAACTTTATGTCAGATTCACGTGGGGAGCTTTAAAACTCAACTCCTATCTTAACAGCTAAACAGAAGCTCTAGGTCAGTGGTTCTCAACCTTGGCTGCACGTTAGAATCACCTGGGAATCTTTTTAAAATCCTGATTTCTGGGCCTCATCCTCCGGAAATTCTGTTTCTTTGTTCTGGGATGAGGCCACAACATTAGTAACAAAGAAACAGGATTTCCGGAGGATGAGGCCCAGAAATCAGGATTTTAAAAAAGATTCCCAGGTGATTCTAACGTGCAGCCAAGGTTGAGAACCACGGCTCTGGATCGAAGCATGGGCGTTTTTTAAAGCTCCCTGGGTGAGGGCCCGGGCTCCACCAGACCCGTCTCACCTGGGCCTTTTCTTTGCCCGTGGTGTTCGCCCTCCTCCAGGTGGAGGTTCTTTACGAGGACGAGCCGCTGAAGGAATACTACACCCTCATGGACATCGCCTACATCTACCCCTGGCGGCGGGTGAGCAGGGCTGGGAGGGGACCCCTGCAGGTCGGGCACTGGTCTGTGCCCACAGGGACCGCATGAGCCACCCTGCTCTAACCACAGACAGACAGCATCTCTCGTCCCACGAGCTGGCCATGTCCGGGGGAGCCCGCCTCGGGCTCTCCCTCACGGAGCTCCCACACTCGGGAGAAAAGGATCTTTGGGCAGATGACATGCCCAGTTTGGGGTCGGGAAAGAGGGGCTGGTGGCTGTGGAGGAGTAAATGTTGCTTTCTGCTCGGCCTCCTCTCTTCTCTGCAGTCTCTGGTCTCACACGTTCTCTCTGGGTCTGGTGCCCGGCTCTCCGGCCTGGCTCTCTCAGTCTTGAGGTCTTGCTTTCCCTCGGTCCCCCTACTCTGCTGGGTCTTTCTCTCTAGGGCTTGAGCTTTTCCTTTCTTCCTCGTTGGGCATGAGGGGGTGAAGGTGGGTGGCTGCCTGGCTAGCCTCTCTCCCCCCACTCTCCCTGCAGAACGGCCCTCTCCCCCTCAAGTACCGGGTCCAGCCAGCCTGCAAGCGGCTCACCTTGCCTACAGCACCCACCCCCTCCGAGGGCACCAACACCAGTGGGGCGTCAGAGTGTGAGTCAGTCAGCGACAAGGCTCCCAGCCCTGCCACCCTGCCGGCCACCTCCTCCTCCCTGCCCAGCCCAGCCACCCCCTCCCATGGCTCTCCCAGCTCCCATGGGCCCCCAGCCACCCATCCTACCTCCCCCACTCCCCCTTCAGCAGCCAGTGGGGTCAGCACAGCTACCAACGGGGCGCCTCGAACTGCCTGCAGACACCATCCTCCACCAGCAGGGGGCGCAAGATGACTGTCAATGGAGCTCCTGTGCCCCCCTTAACTTGAGGAAAGGGACCTTTCCCTCCTTTTCAGCCATGCCTCTCCGCCCCTCCACTTTTTCTGGGCTCCTATTTCCACCTCTTCTACTTTCCCCAGCTCCTCCCACCTTAGGGGTGGGGGGTGGGTTTTATAAATAAATCTCTCTCTATATATATATGTACATAGGAAAAACCAAATATACATACTTATTTTCTATGGACCAACCAGATTAATTTAAATGCCACAGGAAACAAACTTTATGTGTGTGTGTGTGTGTAGGGGATGGGTGTTAATTCTGAAGGAGTCTTGTGTAATTTGCTCTACTCTATTTTTGGGGGTACCTGAAAGTGGACTGGAGGGGCCGCTTGAGGCTCAGTAAAGCTTTGCCCCATCCTGCTTCTGTTTCCCAAGGCAGATGGGGTGTTGCAGGGCCCACCAGCCCCCAAAGCTTTAGGCACAACGCTTAACTGGCTGTGGATGGGTCCCCCCTCTCTCTCTCTCCATCTTGGCTGCTGTCGTGCCCCGACCCAACCAGCCCCCCACCCCCTCATGTTGAATGTCCAGAGACTTGCTAAGACAGTGCCTTTTACAAATGCAGTTTATCCCCTGGTTTTGGGGAGCGAGTGGGTGGTGGAGATGGTATCTCCCTGACCTCCTCCTCATGCAGTGGAAACTTTGTACAAAGCGTAGCTAGTTCTGCCCTTTGTTTTTTTCCCTGTGTGTGTGGCCTTTGCACCGTTTTCCTTGTGGAAGAGAAGATTCGGGCCATGGGAGGCCTCCGCCCTTGACATCCCACTGTGGCTCTAGCATTGTGAACCACTTCCCCCCGGGGTCCCCCTACCCCCACCCAGGCACCCACACCAGCCAGCCTGGTGGTGAAGTCTCACTTGGGGAGCTGGAGTGGAGAGGTGGAGTGGGGTTAACCTCAGACAAGCACAGACCCCAGATTTTGCTAAAGGCAAACAGCCCTCCAGTCCTCTCCCCACCCCCAGCTGAGGCCCAGTCAGGAAAGAGCCCCGGGGGCATCTGAAAGCACAAGACAGACACGTGTAAGCTCTGTCCTCAACTCCATCCTGAGAGGTCAGTGACCACCCCTGAGGGGCAGGCCCCGGGAGCTCCCTGCCTCCCTGTTTTCTTCCAATGTACATAGGTCAGATCGGGGAGGAGGCAAGACTCTGTCACAACCTAGGTGTCTGGGTTGGGTCCCCCCAGTGGGTTTGTCTGTGTTTGCACCTGGTCCGTTGTCTGAGGTGCTATGACTGTACCCTCCTCCTACCCTGGGACATTTGCATCTCCTGGCTTTGTAATAAATGCTGCATATTCTCCAGAGCCTCTAGTTCTTTGGGGCAGAGGGGACAGGGAGAGGATGGGGTGGGTCCCCTGGCCTCTTCGTACCTCTCGCCTCTAGGCTCAGCCTGCTTTGGGAGACCCCATATGGAATAAACCAGAATGGCCTCTCTCCTGTGGCCGGTCTGGTGCCCCCAGACCAGGGTTAGGAGCCAGAGCCGGGGGTATGCCCCGTGCCCCCCCAGTGACCACAAGAATACCATTCTGGATGGGCAGGCTTGTTTAATGCCACCTTCTCCACCAGCAGGTGCTAATCCAGGGACCTGCTCCTGGCTGCCCCAGGTTAGAGACTTCAGGCTATGGGAGTAAGTCCTTTATAAGCCAGCTGGGTACTGGGGTCCCTGGATGATCACTTTTTGGCTCGGCACGCCCTTTCCTTCCCCACAAAGGGGGTGCCTGTCAGAGAGGCCTGGGGCTGATGAGCAGCCGCCCCTCAGAGTGGGGAGCCCACTTCTGCCTTCTGCACCCTCTCGCTCCTGTGGGTGCCATCGCAGTATGGGGGCTTCTGAGTGGCCTTGCAGGTACATAGGGCCACCACTCGGGTCTCCTGGACTTTGAACTTGAGTGGGGAGAGGCCAGTGCGTTGGAAGAAGTGGGAGCCGTCACAGAAGGGCTGGTGAGGGAAAGCGAGAAGTTAAGAGAGCTGGCCCCACCTGTGGGGTGGGCAGGTCTGGGAGGAGCAGGGCACAGTGGTTAGGGCTCCCGCTCCCGAGTGACACTAGTTTACCTCTCATTTGTAGTGTGAGGATAAGAGTTGAGTTGTCCTAAGGAAATCATAATCATTTATTATGCACTTTGCGTACAGTAAGTGTTCAGTAAGTTTGAGTCATTACAGCATTAGTCTCCAGGGCACAAGGACAGAATTTCCAAGGTGAAATGGGCCTTAGGTTTTACACCAATAGTTTGGTTGTTTTTTTTTAATGGCCCAGTCTCCACTGCCTCATGAAATTCGTTTCTTTCCCCATCCTGGTGAAAACGGGGTTGGAGAGAGCCTGCATGCATCACAGGGCTTTAAGGCAGACTGGGGTATCAATATTTTGGCTCCAGGAAACAATTGGGCGTATTATAGGGAGTGAGTGTACCAGGGAGGAAGGGGGTGTCCTGTAGTGAACTGGCTGCCTGGTGCCAGCATATACTCCCCGTCCATCCCTGCAGGGGCTCGAGCAGAACCGGGTAACGGAAACCAACCGAGGCCCATGGAGGTGCTGCGACTTGCTGTCAGTGGGCCCTCTTGACTTTGGGGTCAGGGTGGGGTCGGAGGAAGCCAGCCACTCTCCAGCTGAAGTTCCCTTAGCCCGGCTCCACCCTTATGAGGACCTGCTCCCAATCGAATCAGTGGCAGAGCAGGGCTGCTGACACCAGGCCACACTGATGGAGAAACACAGTTCAGAGCTCAGCACAGGAAGGAAAGGGGCCCTGGAGGCTGAGAATATGGAGCAGGTTCCCGCCGGATGAAAGGCTCCTGGGGCAGAAGGGAGAGGCAGCCAGGCTGCGGCCCGCGGGCAGCCAGGAAAGTCAGATAAACAGAAAGGAAGGGTTTTCAGAAGACTGGGGGGCAGCGAAACTGGGCAGTCTTCCCAACGATGGGGTCCCAGGCAACGATGGGGTCCCAGGCGGGGAACCTTTGGCCCAGATGCTTCTTAGGAGCAAGGAGAGAGGAAGAGAGAGACAGGCAAGCCCCTCTGCTTAGAAACAGAGCCTGCATGAGCCTCTGAGAAGGGAGCACCAGAAGCAAAGTCCAGAACCCTGGGGGGGTGCGGGGCTAGAAGAGGTCAATGTGTGTGTGTGTGGGGGGGGGCATGCAATACTTTCAACAATAAAGATTTTTAAAACCTAAAATAAAAATAAATAGATTTAAAACCACAGAAACCAGAACCCTGGGTTCCCCCCGCCTGGCTGTGTGACAGTTTCTGTATCTCCGGACTCAAAGGGTTGATACAGACAGAGCTCAAGGCGATGGGTGCGCCAGCCTGAGTATTTTTTTTCTTGAGAGGGAGCTCTCAGACACACCCTGCTTTCCCAGCCAGGGGTGTCGGATGTCAATGGGAGGGGGTAGGGTCTCTCACCTGCTTCTTGCTGCGGCCACACACACACCACCTGTAGGTTTTCCCTGCCACTAGCTCCACCTTGATGGGTGTTTTCAGGGCCACCACAGACTTGGCTGGGGCTTTGGGGAACCATTTGGCCTGTGGCAGGGAAGATGAGGGGCTTGGGGTCAGCCCAGGTCCTGGAAGCACTTTGGTCCTATGGCGGCCGGTGTCTCACTGGCCTGGCTTGTGGCAGGCTTCCTCGGATGACACCCAGCAAGGACATTCCTGCCTCCCGCCCCCCGCCTACCCCCCCAAGATACACTAAGTACCCTGAGCTCCAGATAGGCATGCAGGTTTGGAGACCAGCTGCTTTCTCTCAGAACCCTGGCTCCACCTGGTGCTGGGAGGGGAGGGCGGGGATCCTGCCAGCCTAAGCCGGCCAACGGCACCTGGGGCTGGGTTTATCAGGCATCGCTGGCTCCCTGCCCTGCGCCCTCTGGTCCAGCCTGCCTCCCCTGAGTCATCAGGAGGTGGCTACCGGCAAGGCAACCGCAGGCTGGAGTCTAGAAAGAAGGGCTGACCCTTCCCGGTTCCCTTCGCTGGTCTCTACCTGGGGGGCCTGGGGAGCTTGGGCAGAAAGAAGGGGAAACGGGGGGTGCTTACCAGCCAGGAGGAGATGTCACGCCTCTGGTTCAGCTTCTGCAAGGCACGCAGTCATCACAGTACCGTGATTTGGAAACAGAAAAATAAAGTCAGTGGAAAGCGGAGGGCGTCCAGAGGGGAGTCAGCTGGGAAGGGAGAGATGACCGCTTCTGGGTGGAGGAGAAATGCGAGGGTAAGAGAATGGGGTCACAGACAGGAAGGAGAGCCGCTGGGGAGGCGCTGGCCCGCGGCAGGCGCTCGGGAGGCTGCACGACGCGGGGACTTCGGGGGCCGCGCAGCGACGGGCAGGCGGCGGGGCTTGGGGGGGGCACGGGCACGGAGCGGGGGGCGGCGGCGGCGGGGCGGGGGATGCTCACC